ATACTTATTGTAATAAAAATGAATATCAAATTGTAAAGAAAAATAAATTATAATAGAAACTGAAAATAAATTATTTTTTTATTAAATTGTAATATGAATATATAAGAAAATAAGAAACAAAAGATGTAGTAAAAAAGTAAACAAACAAAAATGCAAAAAAAAAAAAGCTAGAGGAGAGGACAAATGTTTTATAGGCATAAATATGTTTTACTATAAATATGTGATATTTTTGTCTATAGTTTATTTTTGTGACATTTTTGTAATTGAAACTATTTTCATGTGACATTTTTGTAAATTTCTTTTTTCTTTTTGCAATTTGCTTAGATCACACTAAAGAGTTGTTGACAATGACATTCATTTTGGTTATGATAAATAACCATCATGATTGCATCATCTATCCTGGCCTCCGAACAGCTCTTGACGCCACAGCTCGCAGGTTAGCTTTTGCCAAAAACAGAGTATAAGCTGATGAAGAAGAAGAAGTTGCCCAGCTGCTGTAACACCGAACGCTGACGCATATTCCTGCCATTGCAACCGCATGGCTAGTGCAGCATCCCTATCTTGATCCAACCTCTCGCTCCTCTCTTCCTTCTCTCGGTTCTCTCTTCATCGGATACTAACAATCTCTCGGTTTCTTGGACTCGGCGTCTCCTTGCCTCTCGAGTTAGCAGAAGCAGCAGCTCTCTATGCTTCAACTTCTTTAAGGAACAAAAGCTGGATTGTGTTCCAAACAGTGGCGGAAGCAGGAAAACAAACTACCGAGGTCATAATAGTTAAAAAATTACATTGGTAGGGATCAATAATCATTTTGGATAGGGGTCAATTTAAAACATCTAATAAAAATTACATTGTTTAAAAAAAATCGTGTGGGTCAATTGACCCCCCTAATTACATACTACCTCCGCCACTGGTTCCAAAGAACCGTATTGACCGAGCAATATATCCCATTTCTACACATACAAATCACATTGTTAGAGTAAACTGAAGCTTTTTTTTATCGCAAACACATCAAAGTTGATTCTATCTTACCCCTATGACTTATCTGCATTTAGGGCACTTCCTTCTACACTTATCCGCTGCAGATCGCAAACACTTTTCGCATTCACCGTCCAAAGATTATAACTA